TCCCCTGGGTGTGTCCACAACTCCTGGGTGTGTCCCCAACCCCCCTGGGTGTGTCCCCAACCCCCCTGGGTGTGTCCCCATCCCCCACAGTGTCCCCTGGGTGTGTCCCCAACCCCTGGGTGTGTCCCCAACCCCTGGGTGTGTCCCCTGGGCGTGTCCCCAACACCCCTGGGTGTGTCCCCAACACCTGGGTGTGTCCCCTGGGTGTGTCCCCTGGGTGTGTCTCCAACCCCCACAGTGTCCTCTGGGTGTGTCCCCAACCCCTCAGGGTGTGTCCCCAACCCTGGGTGTGTCCCCATTCCCCACAGTGTCCCATGGGTGTGTCCCCAACCCTGGGTGTGTCCCCATTCCCCACAGTGTCCCATGGGTGTGTCCCCAACCCTGGGTGTGTCCCCAACCCCTCAGGGTGTGTCCCCAACCCTGGGTGTGTCTCCATTCCCCACAGTGTCCCCTGGGTGTGTCCCCATCCCCCCAGTGTCCCCTGGGTGTGTCCCCAACCCCTCAGGGTGTGTCCCCAACCCTTGGGTGTGTCCCCATCCCCCACAGTGTCCCGTGGGTGTGATCCCTGGGTGTGTCCCCTGGGTGTGTCCCCAAGGCCTGGGTGTGTCCCAGGCCTAATAATATTATTATATATTATATATATAATAATATATTGTATATATAATAATATGTTATATATTATGTATTATTATATAATATATATTATAACAATATATATTACATATAATATATTATTATATATTATATATATTATATATATTATATATAATAATATATTATATATTATATATAATAATATATTTTATATGATAATATATAATATATAATATATAATAATATATTATATATAATACTATATTATAATAATATATATTATATATATAATAACATATATTATCTATTCTCTCTAACTTTACCTTAGGAAGTTGCCCACACCAGGAAGAACCAAAAACTGTGGCCTATTCCCTTTGGTGTCCATCTGGTGAGTATAAAGGGTCAAAGGGTGGCTCCCACGTGTAACCAAGGCAGGGTTGCCCGGCATTCTCTTCCTCCAAGGTCGTCATTCCAGGTTCAAATCCACCTTTACTGGATGCAGCAGACGGGTGAGGGGGTTCAATTTGAGATCAGATGGTTATATTTACCTTTGGACGTACTGTTTTACAATATTTGGTGCTGGCATGGTTTGAGATAGCCCGAAAATCCCATTCCCTAGCTCCATTCCCCCTCCCACATCTCAACCTAATGTGAGATGGGTTTTTCCAGACAAAACACACCAGACTCAAAGTGGGGAAAAGGGAAATATATTACAATGACTATACAAATAAATATAACATCACATTATACACATGATCACAACTATCTCTACCATGACATATGTATTTACAATGGATCAGATCTCTTCTCCCCTCCAAATAAAAGTCCAGGAGGGAAAGAAGGACAGATCCCTTCCAGTCCTTAAGCAGCAGCATCTTCTGAGGCAGCAGGTTCTGTCTGTCCTCTCCACGTGCAGCAGCTGACAGCTGGCTTTCTGCCAGCACTCACGAGGGAGGTATTCCAGCTCCCTCGGCCCCTTGACACAGGCAAAGGGGTCTTCCGTGGGCTTCGTAAGCCCAGACAAGGTCATATCACCACGGTCATATCACGAGACACAGGGGGGTCTTCGTGACGGTCTGGTATCTCTTGCAGGGCCTCTGTGCCCTGTCTCTCAGGCTGCCACCGTGGCAGCAGTGCGAGGGGGGAGCCGAGGTCACCCCCTCTGCATTCCTCTTGGAGCTCTCTAGCTCCTTTCTGCAGTGCATGTCGCACTTCAAGGCTCTTTCAAGTAAGAGTCCATCATCTTCCTCCTTCCAGGAGGTCTCAAGGGAGTTTTGGGGGGCTGGTATCAGTCTCACCCCCAGAACTCTGTCTCTCAGCTGCTGGCTCTCCTTTCCTCAGCTCTCCTTCCAGGAGTCCTTTCTGCGGAGCTGCAGGTTGTTCCTGCTGCTCCTCCGGTTCAGGTCTTATCTGTCCTGGCTCTCTGCCAGTCTCTGGACGCTGCGTCTCTGCTTTCTGCTCTGTCTCCACTGCCCAGCTTGGAGAAAACACCTCCCGGTTTAACCACAGACACTTAGCCCAGTCTAACACTGTTCCAAGTCTCTGCAATCCCCCCAGCCGGGGGCTGGGAGGGCCCAGAGGCCCCGAGGGGCTCCGAGCCCCTTCCTTGTGGCTCTACAGCATGGCCACCTCTCCTCAACAACCAAACTACAACTCATCTCTTCCGTTGAGCTTGTGGAATGTTGACATTTCTGCAGGAGCACCCATTGGGCAGAACTTCAAAACTTCCAGGGGTTTCCACCCCTTGGGGTTCTACCACTTGTCTCAGCCTCTGGGGGAAAACAAGGTCCAAAGCACTACAGGTGCGTGACATCCAGTCCTGAGCCACATCAGGAGGTGGGGGGTAAGTTTGGTAAAGACCATGCACTGCAGGAACACCTTTCCAGAGTATTTTGGCTCCCTTGGTCTCGCTGGTCCACTTTTCAGGTGGGGGCAACGGGGCTGTCACACCAGCCATGTTAAAAACAAAAGATAAATTCAAAGGTATCATAAGAAAAATCGCAATCCTCGTTCAGCAGACTCGGGTAGAGTTACACATAGGCCCTGGTGGGTATGATTCCATAGTTTTGCAAACCCTTTGACCTGCTCCCGGGCGAGGTTCCTTTGATTTTCACTTCTAACAGTCTGTCCTGCTCAGCACGTGTACAAGGTAAGTAACCACACAAACACAGCTAACAAAATATAACTACAGTTACCAGCAAACTGAACCACGGTCCAAATCCGAGGTTATTCATTCACAGCTCTGAATACTTTTTCTCCGTGGGGCAGTTACCTGGAAAAGAAAAGAAAAAGGTCTGTCTGGCCCCCTTTTTAGGGCCCAATATTAAATCAATATAGTGAGGCCTAGTGAGGCCTGGTGAGGCCTGGTGAGGCCTGGTGAGGCCTGGTGAGGCCTGGTAAGATCTGGTGAGGCCTGGTGAGGCCTGGTGAGGCCTGGTGAGGCCTAGTGAGGCCTGGTAAGATCTGGTGAGGCCTGGTGAGGCCTAGTGAAGCCTGGTAAGGCCTGGTGAGGCCTGGTGAGGTCTAGTGAGGCCTGGTAAGGCCTGGTGAGGCCTAGTGAGGCCTGGTGAGGCCCCTCACTAGGAAGGGGGGTCCAATCCCACTTTGCTTTTTTCCCACAGCCAGGGCTGTGCAATTATTGAAAAATCAGGGCTGTGCTTTCTCCAGAAAACCAGCAGGCCCAAAGCACCCCGCAAACCTTTTTTGTTCTCTGGTGGTTTAAGTTGGTCCGGGCAGGCGAGTGCGTCTGGGGGAACACAAACCATTCCCCCCTTCCACCAAATTCCCGGGAATTTTCCTCCCTTGTGAAGGAGGTTGTACCTTCTCAGGAGGGACACACAAGTCCAGGGCCTCGAGATGCCTGACAATGTCTGTTTGCGTTGTTTGCACCCAAATCTCATTTCCTGCGGCTAAAATGTCATCGATATATTGATACACTTTTACTCCTGGGGCAGGAGGAACGAGTGACAGTTCCTGCGCCAGGCATTGATGCCAATAAATACCCAATATATTTAGATGTGCCCCCAGGAAGGCGCAGGAAACTGCTCAGAGACAATTTTTAGTCTTTAAGCAGCGAGGTGTTTATTGAGCGACGCTGGAGAGCAGCCAGCTCGCGCTGGACAAAAACTGCTCTGCCTCTCCAGTGGATTTCCAGGTTTTTGTACCATTTCTACAGGTGATTGCAAGACGTTCACATAAATATTCACACGATTGCAACATCTGATTGTAATATTCATAACAGGCGGGGTCTGGGCGGAGTCGGGGGCGTGGTCCCCAATTTGGGGAGAATCCAGGAGGGTCATTCCTGTTTCTCCATCCTCTGGGGGATGTTTTTACTCCTCTTCCTTGGCCGAGCTTTTCAACTTCCTTGATCTTGGCGGAATTTACGGGGAATTCTGCAAGATCCTTCGACTCCAGCCCCACTTTGCCCCCTTTTCTGACTCAGGTTAGGGGGGTGTGTCAGCCCCAGTTTGGAGTCTCCCAGTCCCAGTTTGAGATCTCCCAGTTCCCCGTTTGGCGGTCTCCCAGTCCCAGTTTGAGATCTCCCACTCCCAGTTTGAGATCTCCCAGTCCCAGTTTGGGATCTCCCACTCCCAGTTTGGGCTCTCCCAATCCCAGTTTGGGATCTCCCACTCCCAGTTTGGGGTCTCCCACTCCCAATTTGGACTCTCCCACTCCCAGTTTGAGATCTCCCACTCCCAGTTTGGGATCTCCCACTCCCAGTTTGGGATCTCCCACTCCCAGTTTGGGATCTCCCACTCCCAGTTTGGGATCTCCCAGTCCCAGTTTGAGATCTCCCACTCCCAGTTTGGGATCTCCCAGTCCCAGTTTGGAGTCTCCCACTCCCAGTTTGGTTTCTCCCAGTCCCAGTTTGGAGTCTCCCACTTCCAGTTTGGGGTCTCCCACTCCCAGTTTGGGATCTCCCAGTCCCAGTTTGGGATGTCCCACTCCCAGTTTGGGGTCTCCCAGTCCCAGTTTGGGATGTCCCAGTCCCAGTTTAGGATCTCCCACTCCCAGTCTGGGGTCTCCCACTCCCAGTTTGGTTTCTCCCACTTCCAGTTTGGGATCTCCCACTCCCAGTTTGGGATGTCCCAGTCCCAGTTTGGGATGTCCCACTCCCAGTTTGGGATGTCCCAGTCCCAGTTTGGGATGTCCCACTCCCAGTTTGGGATCTCCCAGTCCCAGTTTGGGGTCTCCCACTCCCAGTTTGGGGTCTCCCACTCCCAGTTTGGGGTCTACAAGTCCCAGTTTGGGATGTCCCAGTCCCAGTTTGGGATGTCCCACTCCCAGTTTGGGCTCTCCCAGTCCCAGTTTGGGATGTCCCAGTCCCAGTTTGGGCTCTCCCAGTCCCAGTTTGGGATGTCCCACTCCCAGTTTGGGATCTCCTAGTCCCAGTTTGGGCTGTCCCAGTCTGGGCTCTCCCTCTCCCAGTTTGGGCTGTCCCACTCCCAGTTTGGGATCTCCTAGTCCCAGTTTGGGCTGTCCCAGTTTGGGCTCTCCCTCTCCCAGTTTGGGATGTCCCACTCCCAGTTTGGGCTCTCCCAGTTTGGGTTTGGGCTGTCCCAGTCTGGGCTGTCCCAGTCTGGGATGGCCCCTCCCCATCCCCTCCCCTCCCCCTCCCCGTTTGTTTCTCCCCTTCCCCCTTCTGGGCGCGTCGGCGGGAATCGCGTCCCGGAAAAAAACTTTACTCTCAGTCATCCAGGGAGCCTTATCCCCCCCCCCCTCCTCCTCCTCCTCCTCCTCCTCCGTCATACCGGGGAGGAGCTTCATCCCCCCCCCTTTCCTCCTCCTCCTCATCCTCCTCCCTCTCCGTCATCCCCGAGCCTTCATCCCCCCCCCATCCTCTCTTCCTCCTCCTCCGTCCATCCCCGATCCTTCCTCCCCCCCCACCTCCTCCTCCTCTCCTCCTCATCCCCGAGCCCTTATCCCTCCTCCTCCTCCTTCTTCTTTTTCATCCCCGAGCCTTCATCCCCCTTCCCCTCCTCCTCCTCCTCCGCTATCCCGGGACTTCCATTCCCTTCCTCCCCGTCATCCCGGGACCTTCCTCCCTCCTCCTCCTCCTCCTCCTCCCGCCGTTCCCCCTGGACCTTCCTCCCTCCACCCCCGCCCTCCTCCTCCTCCTCCGCTATCCCGGGAAAAACTTTTCCTCCTCCGTCACCCCAGAGCCTTCATCCCCCTCCTCCTCCTCCCCGTCATCCCGGGAGTTTCCTCCTCCTCCTCCTTCCCACGACCTTCCTCCTCCTCCGTAATCCCGGGATCTTCATCCACCCCCCTCCTCCTCCTCCTCCTCCTCCTCCTCCCGTTCCCCCGGGACCTTCATCCACCCACCCCGCCCTCCTCCTCCTCCTCCTCCGCTATCCCCGGAAAAACTTTTCCTCCTCCGTCATCCCGGAGCCTTCATCCACCCCCGCCCTCCTCCTCCTCCTCCTCCGTCATCCCGGGACTTTCATTCCTTTCCTCCCCGTCATCCCGGGACCTTCATCCACCCTCCTCCTCCTCCTCCTCCTCCTCCTCCTCCCAGCCGTTACCCGGGACCTTCCTCCCTCCTCCTCCTCCTCCCGCTCCTCGTTAACTCGGGATCTTCCTCCTCCTCCTCCTCTTCCTCCTCCTTCCCGGGACCTTCATCCTCCCTCCTCCTCCTCCTCCTCCTCCCGCTCCCCGTTAACTCGGGACCTTCCTCCCCCTTCCTCTTCCTCCGTCATCCCGGGACTCCCATTCCTTTCCTCCCCGTCATCCCGGGATCTTCATCCACCCCCGCCCTCCTCCTCCTCCTCCTCCTCCTCCTTCACTATCCCGGGAAAAAGTTTCCTCCTCCGTCATCCCGGGATCTTCCTCCTCCCCGTTATCCCGGGGCCTTCCTCCTCCTCCTCCTCCTCCGTCATCCCGGGACCTTCCTCCTCCCCGTTATCCCGGGGCCTTCCTCCTCCTCCTCCTCCTCCGTCATCCCGGGACCTTCCTCCTCCCCGTTATCCCGGGGCCTTCCTCCCTCCTCCTCCTCCTCCGTCATCCCGGGACTTTCCTCCTCCTCCTCCCAACCGTTACCCCAGGACCTTCCTCCCTCCTCCTCCTCCTCCTCCTCCTCC